GATCGGACTAAGACACTGGTGGTTTTGGACGGTACGTGTGCTGAGGGTGTTGGGCGGTAACGTGCAGAGCCCAACTCAGTACTTTGCGCGGCTGTCACAAATTAATCCCTGCCCCTGGTACTTTTACCGCAGTTTTCGGCCCGCCAAAATTTGCTTCGTTACGACGTCATCAATTTTCCAGAGAGATAAACAAATAATTTATAGTTAATGGTTTCTAGCTACTAATTTAATATCTGTGTTTTACCAAAATCTTAACTAGAGAAGTTCGTAATGCAATCTTTTCTGATAAATTTGAATATTATTGCTTTGTACGGGATAAATAGAGAAATTATCGGGAGTGAGTTTTAAAGTACTTATATTTAATAGTAATAAATGCAATATTTTCGAAAATAATTGTTTCACAAGATTTTTAAGAGACAGGTTGACGGGCAAAACAGACATATAGATAGAGACAGACAGACAGACAGACAGACAGACAGACAAGTCAGAAGCAGACATGATAGTGATAAGCAAAGCAGAGGTAGAGAGAAGATGGAGAGAGGAAATGAAAAATAATGAGAGAGAAAAAAGAGAGAAGGGAGAGAACGAGGACAAAGCGACAGACAAAACAGATATAAACAAGATAGAGACAGATAAGAAAGAGTGAGAGACAAGACAAATAGACAACTCAGAGGCAGAAAAGACAGAGACAGAAAAGGCAGAGATAGATAAGACAACATGAAGCCAGACAAGACAGAGATTGAGTGACAGATAAAAATAGACATATAGGTAGACAGACAGATACGTAAACAAAACAATAAACAGAGGACAAAACAATACCCAAAGGAACAGACAAACCGGAAATAGACAAGACAGATACAGATTAGATAGAAATAGACAAGACACAGAGAGTCAAACAGCGGTATAGAAGAAGGTGAGAAACAGAGAGAGACCTCGCAGAGGCGGAAGAGGCAGAAACAGACAAGATAGAATCAGAAAAGATAGAGGCACAAAAAATACAGACAGAGAAAAGAGAGAGAAAGAGAAAACCGAGACAAACAAAATAGAAACAGGACGACAAAGACAGACAAGTCGGAGACAGACAACACGGAAGATAAACAAGACCGAGACCGACAAAACAGAGACACACAAGATAGAGACAGACAAGAGAGACACAAAAACAAGAAGGAGAGAGAAGGGACAGAGGTGAAATGGCAGACAAAGAGACGACGAAAACAAAGAATTAAATGACGGACCGACAAATAAAGAGAGAGACACTTAAAAAAATAGACAACCAAGAGATATACGGACAGACAACACAGAAATAAAGAAGATAGAGTCAGACAAGAAAGTGGTAGACAAGAGGGAGAGAGAGCAAAGACAGAACCAGTAACGACTGAAACAGAAAAGATAGACACAGACAAAAGAGTGAGAGATAAGTCAGAAGCAAAGAAAACAGGGACAGTAAAGGCAGAGTTAGATAAGACAATGATATACAAGACACAGGCAGACTAGATGGTGATAGATAAAAGGAAGACAGACAAAACACAGATAGAGAGACGGACAGAGTAACAGATAAAAACAGACATAGTGGTATACAGACAAGAATGAGAGAGAGGAGGGAGAGGGACCAAGCAGAGGCAGGAGAGACAGAAACAGACAAGATATAAACAGAAAATACAGAATCAGACAAGGCAGAGACAGACAAAACAGCAATAAGGAGACAGATACATAGATCAGACAAAGACAGAGACAGTCAATACGGAGATCGACAAAACGGGGAAAGACAAAACGGAAATTGGTAATACGGAGATAGACAAGATGAAGATAGACAATACGGAGACAAACAAGATAGACAGACCAGACAGAGATAGACAAGATAAAGACAGACAAGACAGAGACAGATGAGGGAGAAATAGAGAGAGGACGAACAGAGGCAGAAACGACAGAAGCAGAAAGCTAGACATAGAGACGTAGGAAAAAAGATTATTAAATGACGAACAGACAAGTAAAAAATCAGACAACTCAGAGATAGACAGACAGACTAGACAGAGACAGTAAGAGAGGCAGACCAACACAAAGTTAAGTAGCACAGTTCTAAGACAGTTTGACCTAATTTGACCTATCTCAGAAACGGCATTACTTTCTATCGACAGGTCATCGACCTGTCTTAGAACCGGTATTATTTTCAGTCGATTATTTTGACCTGTCTTAGCAGTCCCATTTTTTTTGTCTAGCAATTTGACCTGTCTTAGAGCCGACAATATTTTCTGTCGACCATTTTGACTTGTCTTAGAACCCCCATCAACCATAACATTTTGTCGACGATTTGACCTGTCTTAGGAACCTCTTCACTTCTTGTCGAGCACTTTGACCTGCTAAGATAAGGGTGATTTTGGTAAATGACATACCCTCTAAGAAAAGAGAGGGTGGGTGGGTGGGGCTAGTAGGTGCTAAAATAAGATTGATTTTGGCAGGTGAATTTACACATAACTTTTTTTTTAATAGAATCTTATTAGGTTTTTCCTTGGCTTTATAACCCTATTTTATTTCTAAATTCCGATGCGACGTTGCCACGTTATTTCTATTTTTTGGATGTTTTTCAGTTAAACAAGGGTTCACAAAAGAGTTATTTTAAATAAGATTTCTGTTGCAATTTTTTTGTGGCTTTGTTTTGGTTCAGTGAAGCGAAATTTTAATATACAGAATAGAACACCCTGTATTTTATTGTTGCAATGCACTCTACTTTCATAATTGTGGATGTTATGTTTGAAAAATTCAAATATCGATTTTGAAAAATGTTATAAATTATTTTTTAAAAATAACCCTGTTCTGATTTTTTTTATGAACCCTTCCATTGCTAAGAAATGGCATAACGTGGCAAAGTTGCATAGGATTTTCGAAAATGAACAATTAGTCAATTAGAATATAGAAACATATTTAGGGTATCCTGTTTGAAAAACAAAGTTTTACGTTAGGTGTTACGAACAAAACACTTTGTATGGTTCAAAATAATTTTGGTATATATTACTCAAAGAAGTATACACTTTTAGTCCCAGACATTTTTTTATATTTCTAATATTTAATGAATTATCGAGGAGCGCATTTGGTGACTCACCCTGTATATTAATTATTAGAAATACAACAAAAAATCACAGATCAAAATTGTACGGTGCTTTAAGGACTATACGCTAAAGTTATTCTTAACTGTACAGAGTGTTCTGATTTTAAAGTGTAAATCACAACTTAGTTTCTTTAATTGAACCACCCTATATATTTTTACATATTCTCATTACTCTCTTCCTAGGCTTTATGACTACAGTTTATTTTTGAAATTCATAATCAAATCAAATTTTAATATACAAAGTGTTTATAAAAAATCTAAAACTTTAAAATTTTCAAATAGCGATATTTCAGTTTTATCAAGTGGAACAGCGTGTATTTTATTACTGCACTCCATTTTTTATCTTCATTCTCCTGATATGTCAATGTATCTGTTAGCAAAGTAAAAAATCGCAGTAACTATCAACTTTAAGAAAATAATTAACAGAAAGAACGAACAAAAAATAGAATAAGATGTAGTAATACAATACAGGGTGTTCTATTTGAAAAACCGAAATATCGGTATTTTTTACTTTTCGTAGTAGTCATTCGGGCAGTAAAAGCATAACGTAAAGTTTTAATCATCTACAACCAACATGCGAGTGAAGTCATAGATAAAATAGTCAGGAGCTTCGTTCGCTCTACCTAAAAATTTTCAGTAGTGTATTTCAGAGTAATTTGTTTTAATCTACGAACACAGGCGAAGTATAACACTCACTTTTGGTAGCTCGCTGCACTCGCTAAACAGCCATAACGTTTGAAATTAGCATTTAATTATTAGTAGTCGGTTGTCAAAACTACCAATTTATATACCACGACTAGCTTCTAGGTATGAAGTACCATTTCAGCATGCAATAGCAAAATGTATATGATGTTTGGTTAATACACGTGAATGCACTTTTATATGCTATTAGTATGTAGTTCGTATAAAATTATGTAAATGTGTTATTAGGTAAATTACTTAAGTACTTTCTCTGTGTAATTAGTAAATTAGTTATGTTACTTTACATTATCCTGTAATTGGAAGGTTATTCTGTTGGATAATAAAGGAATATTATTATTATTATTTAGTAGTACGAGTCGTAGTAACCTGGGTTTTCAGTGATGGATTTATTGAAAATAGGTCGCTATTCGCCCATCGTGTTCTTAGCTATATATACACCATATCGCTATATAGCTCGTTAGTAACGCTCCACGCCCACTTGGTTTCTGCCTATACAAGAACCTAACGCAAAATCGTATACCGTCGTAATTTGCAGCAATAACTTGATTGATTCAAACTTGTAATTAGGTTAATACACAAGGAACAAACTGCAATTAATAATTAATTATATCATTACGACAAGCCTCTAGATATATCAGCTGAATACATTGTTTACTTTTGTGGTAAAATCTGCAAGAATAACTTGCGCGCCCAGTGTCTAAAATAATTAAACATATGGTTTATCTATAAAAAAATCCCATAGACACAAAGAGTGTGTAAATATAGTGCGGAATCGAAATTTGGCAGTTTGCACAAATAACGTCGAAGATATTTAAATTTTTTCGAATCTCGTATAATTCCGTCACAGTTTGCCTAACCTTGAATTGGCATCCACAATTTCCGTATATTAATTATATCCACCAGTTTCGTTAACCGCACGAAGCTCACGCGTTGGCAGTTCTAAAATCGGGTCGGGTTGTCGCCTTCCTGCCCACATTTTCCCGAATTTCGATAAGGCCGACCCATCCTCCGCCCCTGCCTTCGGCGGTTCGCTTGCAGCTCCCTTGAAAATTTTTGATCAGCCAGCTGCGAAAAATCGCAGCGCTTAGTGGCGAAAGGTCGTGAACAGGACAACGTAATAAAATTAATCGTTTTGATGGTTTTCAATTAGCGGGCAGCAAGCAGCGGCGGAGGGAACACAGGCCATGTGCAATCGATGTAAAATAGTCGGAGTTTCTAGTCTTCCTTGTACGGTCCATGTGGCGCCAGTACAATTTCGCGCGCGCGACGATCATCTCGTCCTGGCAACCCTTAATTCGCAGCCCCATATTGCACCTCGTTACATAAAATCGCTTTCGGTACCGAGGGTTGCTGGCGCGTCATACGACTTGTTGTTGTTGTGATTATGGTTAATTGACGGAGCGCTGCATTTTTATGTGACGGTAGGTTGCACTTTTTTTCATTTTTCAACTTTGATGTGGCGAAAGTTTGCTCTTGGTGGTAGTGTGGGGATGAGAGAGCAAAATCATGCTTTGAAGTTTATTCAAAAACTTTGCAAACTTCATCATTTTCTCATTTGGTTTTGGCGTGTAATTGCCGCAGTACATGCTTATGCTTGCTGAGAAATGGGACCCATGAGCTGCGTCAGTGAATTTGCTTAATTAGGTTCGTTAGTTTTTTGAATGCTTAGACGGTCATTGGCGACAATTACTTAAAAACATTGTTGTTCAAGTGGGGAATTAAAATGGTGTTTTACTTTACGGATTTAATAGTTTGGTAAGTTGGATCTTACGGTACAAGGTGATATGTACTAAGATAATTATGTAATTGTTAAAGTTGCGTCTAGTTTAGATTTTCAAACAAAGTTCCGGATTTCAATTACGATTAACGTTAAACTGATTTTAATCATTCTTCGAACTCGTTATAAAGTTAAAAAGTTTACATTTAAACTTTACTATGTGATTGAAAGTAGCAACAAAGGATGGCGGACTGCGGATATAAGTGGATAAAAATATCGAAAGTTTTAGATTAAAATTCTAAACGAACAAACAATAAGCCATATTTTCTTTAAACGCGAGAATTTAAACTCTAATTAACACAAGTATGTTTCCTTTGAATTTGACCCAATTTAGTTGCCGTGTGTGACAAAGAATAAAATAAAATTAATTAATTAATTAATTAATTAATCAGTTAATTAATGAGCTCGAGCTTTTCTTTCTTATTGAAAACCAAGTTACGAGGATAATTCCAAAAATAAACTTCAAAAAAGTGTGCACACTAATAATAATTTAATTAATCGAAATTAATTATTGCTTGCGGTAGTAAAACACGACGTTGAACTTTCATAATTTTATTTTCTTTGGAAAGCATACACATCCGATTTTCTGTCTTTGGGTTAAAGTATTTTCTTTCGTAAGCTACCGTTTCATTAATTCCGAGCATGATATTGACAACAACTTTTACACAAAGTAAATTTAATCGCTGTCAGTTACAGTGTTAGCTCCAAAATTTAAAACGTCAGTTTGTTAGAGTAAATGAGGTATAACGAACTTTAATTTCTGCTGTAAATTATAGCATTGGGAGTATTTCCCATTATAATTAGGAGTACAATTTATATCGCTCCAACCTTCCTATTTGTTTTTGTTTTTTAAACCACTGCGTAGATTGTACGACCTTTTCACTCTATTTTCGCATAAAGCAACTTTTTTGTGATAACCGTCTTTATTCCAATTTTCTTCTTTCTTAAAGTAAGTCTGTGCCATGTTTGTTATGTTTTGAAATTATTGAAGGTGAGTGCGTATTTGTTATTTTATCTTGTAGTTAGGTCTGAACGTCTTGCTCCCGACTTGTCTTTTCTCTCAACATTTCCTTTTTAGTTTTTTCTCAACATGCTGCGAGGATTTTATTACTTCTTCGCCGTCTTATCTTTTTATAGGGTATCGCACTTCTATCTGCTTCTGTCATTTTATATCTTTGGGTTTTTGTTGGCGCTGCAGTCGGACTATTTTCTCTAGACGGAAGATTAATTATATGCATTTTAAATAGATTTATTTAAACTCGATCAGTCGCTGGGGTTTCCGCTTGACATTTTCCCCATTATTTTTATTTTTTGTGTTCTTGTGAATGCGGTTTTAAAATCTTCAAGGTCTGTTTTAATTTATGGGAACCATGTGTCCGTACGATTTTCGTACTAACACTACTCCTACTACGCTCATTGTTTCTCCCCATAAATTTCGACTATTTATTTATTAATTGTGAATTTTACGACACTTCAAACATTCTCATAGTTACTACTATTTATAAAATCGCATCTGCAAAAAATGTAAACAATTTTGTCTTTGTTTAGTTATTTCTTCATCAATGGTTTGACACAACTGTGAAAAGTATCTACAACAATTTTGTTTAGCTTGTCGTGTTAATCAGGTTCGATTTGTTAGAATTACGGATAATTGATGGATTGCTGGATCCTTGTAGACGCTACCTGCGAATTTATTGGTTCGTAAAGGGATTGAGTATGACATTTTCTGATCGCAAAAATAACGTGTCCTAATTGCGTATTTTTAGAGAGCTAAGTGTTTTTTGTAATATTGTTGACAATTAAATTTATTTCAAATTAAATAAATAGCAATCGGAGTATTAATTTATTATGAAAAATAATTTGAAATGCCAATAGTTGGAAGTTTTATTTTATTCAAGTCACGTACCTTAAACCCTCGTCACTTAGCGTTTTAATATTTATAAACATATTTTCGACAAAAAATTAACGCAAAGGCACCTGTTGCTGTTTAACCGACTTACCTGAATATTTATCAAAATTTCTTATTCATTTCTTGACTCCCCATTAATGTTTTTCGAAATCGGTTAGTTAAATTTTAATTTCAGTTCAATAATTGAGATAAAGTTTCAACATTTACCAGTAAAACTTTACCCCATTCTCACAAAGTGCCAGATTTTTTCGTGATGGCAGACTGAAATATCCTGGATTTCAGCTGGATAGGCGTGAAAATTTATGGATCTTTGGTTTCATAACGGGTCAGTGTGGTTGACGAAAGAGCAAAATCTCGCTTTGACTTTATTCAAAAAGTTTTCAACGAGGCTTTGATTTTTTAAGTTTGGTTTTGTCTTGTAATTACCGCGGTAGCCGCTTCTTTTAAACAAAAATGAGTCGAAATAAAACCGCAACCTCGTCAGAGAATTAATTTAGCTAATTAGCTTCATTTGCTTTTCTGGTGTTCTTGCGGTCAGTGATAATTAGTAAAAAATTGTATAACTTACCTTTGGCTAAAAGTGCTACTTCACAACTACTGTACGAGATTAAATGATTTGAAAATGTTAATCCTTACTGCTTTTTTAATTTAATTAGTGTAGTAAAACCGAAGCGGCGCCCACAATCACTTTAATTACCTTCATTAATTTTTTCAACCGACTATAGTGCCGATAATTAGCTTGAACATTATACTGCAACTGAGAAATTGTCTGTCTGATAAAATTGGTGCTCTACTTTATGAAATTACTAGTAAGTTCCACATTACGAACATTTCCTTGTTGTTGCTCTTAAATTAGAGTGGTGTTTGAATGTGTGTTGTCGGTATTTAATTTAATAAAACTCAGCCATATTTATCGTGTTATACAACAACGACGGATATGTTTTCCGTAATACAATTACGAAGAATTTGCTTCCAATTTAGATTTTCAATTAAGTTAAAATGGGAATTGGGTGTACAGCAGCGATTAGCTTAAAGTGATTTTAATCACATTTCGAACACTTTCTCCGGAGTTGAAGTCTTAAACGTTTAAACTTGATTGTGCGATTGATGCCGCAGATTTGATAAAAGATGTTCCAGTGCCTATTAAAACACAAGTTTGCAAATTATACTGCAGTATCTCAAACTGAGAGTGTTTCACTTTTTTGTGTCTAATTTATACACTTAATTATTCCGAGACAAGCGAAAGTTTAATCATCAGTGCAAGAAGAAAATTTAGATCGTAAGTGGTGCACAGATCAGAATTTGTTGTTAAAAAAAAAGTTTCTAAATTAGGATGGAAACAAAAATCAGTAATAATGTTGTTGTAATTAACTAAACATTATTTTGAACCGCCACAAATCCTGCAAATTGCGAGACATTATTTATTTGCGTCCATTTTGATAAACGTAGCTTTTGTATTTTAGTGTTTGTATACAAAATTGATAAATTGCGTGATTTTAACTCATTAATAATATTTAACCTATTTAGCATTGTATTGAAATAAATGCGTTAATGTATTGTTACAGAACAACGCCAGCAATATCCCCGGTGAGCTGCAGGATTTGCAAAATTGACACTTTAGTACGGTAAATAAACTTTAAGTGTAGTGTACTTTTATTGATCTAGAAAAAACACTCGACTTAAAAGACGGAAAAATCGACTATAATATATCAAAGTGTGACGACAGGGTTTTAGTTGAAACTTTTCGTGCGTCAGTTAGTACATGAATCAGCCAATAAAGCCCAAACAAGAAACCTTAAGTTGTAGAAGCAATAAATCACGTATTGTGTGTTCACGTATCAATTTTTGTGTAAGTGTACTTTGATAGTCCAATATTTTACATTTTCATGAGTGACGACCCTGCAATTGGGGTACAAGTTTCTGTCTTGACTGAGTATTGGCTTTATTTAGAATTCTTTTGTCTAGCGATTTGTGCAATGTACGACAAAAATGCGATCTTCTCGGGAGCGGTTTTTGTTAAAGAGAGCATCCTGTTTTACTCTTTTAGAACCGAACCAAGATACGCGTGAGAAAAACCAACAAGCTATATTACACGCCGATTTGATGCTATATCTTTGAATATATTATTTTCAGATTTTCTTTGCTTGCTCTTATTTGTGCCGAGTACTTGTTATCTCCAAGACGTCGTAACATTCGTCGGCTGATTTTTTTTGCGAATTTTGCATGCCAAGGCAGGTTCATAAACCACACGTACATTATCTTGAGAAATCATCTTTAATTCCGTGCTCCAATATTACGGTGTTTGATTTCCGCTGATCCATTAAACAATTTTCGGTTCCAATTTACCGGAAAATTTTAAATGTAGCGTCAGATAAATTAGAGCACCTTGATCGATCATTTTAGATGAGACAGTGAAGTGTTGTCACACTTCAGGATCACGTTCCGTGAGATATGTTGCGAAGGTAATTGTTGAGGTGTTTTTGGGTCAGTGCCATGGAGACACTTGACGGAGATAGACAGACAGGAAGGGAGCGAGAGCGGTGTAATTTTAAAAATCAATACCCTCGTAAATATCTACCAAAATCTTAAAAGTTTGCCACAACTGAACAGTTTCCCTCAGGAGGAGTTAAGAACTCAACTTTTTACTTTTAACCGCAATGTGAAATTGCAAGTTAATGATGAACTTTGAGCGTGCGCTATAATTTCGAAAAAATCGCACCGCAAAATTGAATTAAACGAAACGAAATTATTTCCTCCCACAGGAGCCGAATTTCCTCCAGTCTTCAATATTACATTCTCTTTGATTAAATTATTTACGTTTACTTACCAAACTTCACCAATAAGAACTTCATTAAATTTGCATGGACGCAAATTGCGGTTACATACGCGGTTTCTTTCGGTGTCATTAACACTCGAAGATATTTTAAATCGGAGGCAGCTGTCAACTCCTGCTACAGAAACTCATTTAAAATAAATTAATATTCAAATTACGGCGCCGCAGGTAGAATAAGTGGGAAAGGTCATGAGTTGGCAGTTTAAAACGGGGACACGTCACCTTTATATTTCCAGCAAAATTCTGCCAGGAAAGGAAACGCTGAATCTGCCGGAATTAGATGTGTATGAGGTCGGGCTCGTAGGGGAGACGACTGCTGTTTCGTTTTTTGTGTTTGACTGTCCTGGCTCTAAATTATGACGCCTAAGTAAGTAACCGAAATAGTTATTCGTTCGAGCGATGCAAACGACGAAGACGCTTTTCTCGCCTGTCGAACGCAATTTTTACAACGACGTTAAAAAATTCCTTCGAATTATGCAGAAAGAAATTCAATTTGAGACTTATTTGAAATTTATTACAAAAAACAGGTAGGCGGACGACAAGCAGTTGCCAGGGTGCCATGAAAGCAAAATATGCTAAATTGTTCACAAAGCAGCGTCATTTTGATATTTTTGACACAGAAATTGAAAGTATGAATTTTGAGGAACATATTTAGTTTATTGTATTTTACAAACATTAGCTCGTCTCTTTTAATATTTCGGCATAATTAATTAATCGGATAGATTTTCACAAATATGTGTACATACATAATGGATTCTAGTGGCAACATATCCATGTTTGTGGATACAATTATATAAATATTTTCCCAAATAGGCAGTTTGTTGAAAAGTGTCCATATTTGCAGCAAATTTTCGCTTGGGGTTAAATAACTGTCAAAAATCGATCTGGAAGCCCTGTTGAAAAATTCAATATAAATTCATTATTTCCGTTGAGACAGAGTCGCATCGTCTCATATCCTCTCCCGATTGAAAAAAGCTCCAAATGAAGTGAATTTGCGAAGGCTGGAGTAGAAGGATTCCTTTACCGCACTGCCGTTAGATTTTCCGCTGTCAAATGTCAATAACTGAGCTATTAGATTGATGCTGAAACGATGGATGGATTTTATTTACTCGACGAGTTTTATGTGAACAATCAATCATTGCTTTCTTGGTTTAATTAATATGGGGGAGGATTAGGGAAGCTCCGGATGGAGTAGACGGAAGTGTGGGATAATAACAAAAATTGAGTTATGTGTACTTAACGGCAAATTACGAAATGTGAATGGAATGTCACGATTTCGGAAATGTTTCTTTCTTAATAAATTAAATTGGGATGGTGGAGTTCATTAACAAATGAATAAAATTGTTGAATTAACAGAATTTCTCGTGCTACAAAGTTCCTCTGAATGTTAACTAATTAATTTTAATGAAATGACATTTTGCAAATTTTAACTCAATTCGGAATTACATTAGGGGTCTCTTGTTTTTACGATCCGGAATGGAAAAAGTTGCTTCTAAATAAAGCTGTTTATGTCGGGAAATGCCAAGGTCAGACATGTCTTTTGTAAGGAATTTGCGGGCGTTGTGCTTTAACAAATACACACCCCTTCAGGTGTTCCTTGTGGTGGGCTAAATTCTGAAATACATTTTCGGCAATCATTTGAAAACAAACAAAAGCAACGTCGCATCCCAGTTTTCCCTTACTAAAATTGAAAACTTGATAACAAGTTGTAAGGTGTGTATCTGACATTTATTTTCTCCAGTTCATATCCCGGTAATTGACTTTTCAAGTTGGAATCAATAAATTATCGTTGCAATTATAGAGTCATGTTCCGACATCATTCCGACCTACAACTTGAATAATTCAAAAGCAGCACCGTTATACCATTGACTCTTTAATATCTAAACCCTGAATAAACAATAACACTAAACTTTCCAGAACTCCACCTTACAACCACCGCAACATCTTCAACCTGTATCAGAAATAACTCACGTTAACTACCCCAGCGACTCGCTTTTTACCCTTTAATGATTACGATGGCTTTGACAAAACGCGGCAATTATCTCAAATCCCCTAAAAAATGTTATTATAATTAGTAAATTAGCTCGTCCGGCCTTGCAATTTCCCTTAACAAGCCGTTTTTACCCGCTCTCGCAAGAACACCCGCAAAAACGATGCAACTTATGTTCGACAAAGCCAATGCTCGGGGCTACGTTAAACGACAGTGATTCAAATTTCCTAGATAATCTTGATATCCAACGACTTTATCGTCTAAAACGCCTGATTCTTGAAAAACTTATTAACTAAAATTTTTTAAATCGTTGTGGAGCATAAGTGCGGCTCTCTACGTGATCCGCTCGTCGTAGAAGGAATTGCGTTACTAGGCGTAATCGCGGCAGTGACCATAAGTGCAATTCGTAAGTCCGCTTATTCCCCGTAATCTTCTGGTCTCGGGTGAAGGGAATTGCACCTCCCGGCGTGATCCACTCGCCGTAAGTGCACTTTCACTTACAATCTAGTCTTTTGAAAACGATTTCCAATTCATTTATGACTGCAGAAACCAGTACAAGTACAAGTGTGATTATTTATTTTCAGACGAGAAGTTTTTAAAGGGGATTCAGGTTTTTAGGTGTCTTAAGTAAAAAAATTAATTTTCTTTGGAAGTTTATATTTCGTAACGTTAGTCAGAAAAAAATTCTCGAGGAATAAAAATTCTCCATGAGCTGAAAAAGCAGCTCAAAATAACAATGGGAACGACATCCGCTTTTATTTCCGTCGTTTCAACCACTGGCGAAGTATCTCGAAAACCACGAAAACCACTATTTGAAAAGTAAGTGTTTATTAAGCTTACTCCCAGACTCTAAAAAATGACACGCAACAGAAACAATTTCTTAACAAATGCTCCTTCATTTTTTTCTGTTGATATTCAAGGACTCGGAATCCCGCTGAGCTAACAAGAAGGACAAAGTTGATTGCGAGGAATTTTTTAACCTATTTGGGTTCGTTAAAGTTCAAGATTCAACATTTAAAAGGAAAAGAAGTTCGTTGTAAAATGATTTGCGTGCTGGTTAATTTTATAAGAGGACCAATATTTTTTTTCGTTCATTTTATGAAAAATGCAAACAAAGCTTGACTCGGAAATTTAGGGTTTGTTTGAATTTTGTTAACTCTTGAATAAATTATCTGCATTTTTTGTAATAAAAAAAACATGCTTGTGTTTTCATTGTAGGGCGAAATTGGTTCGATAAAATCCTAGAACCGTAAATTTCTATGATAATAGTGTTCTTTAGCCGGTTATGACTAAAGTCAGTTAGTCTAAAATTCAGAAAAATAATTGGAAGCACTTTCCTTTAACACCCCCTTAAGACATAACATCATCATCAAGTTGTGGCGTGCAACAGTAAACTACGCGGGATTAAAAATGTTTACCCTGCAGATTATCCCGCTCATGACCCTCATCCCTCGCATTACGTTTAAAAACGTTTTTTTAAGCCGCCCTTCCCGCCGCAATTAGATTTTATCGTTTCCTTTAAAATTTGAAAAATTCCGCTCCGACATTACTCGTAACGATATTGAAAAGGTTTATCCCGAAAATGGCGATTGCTTGACTCCTGAAAAAAAGAAAACAACAGAGAGAAGATGTTATTTCACTTGGTTTGTTGCGGGGGCGGATAACCCTAAGCCGAAACCGCTCGGGACTGTTGGAATGTGAAAAACATTGACGTTTTCGTATTAGGGATCGTTTGTGTAATGGCACAATAGTGCACTCAAGTGA